GCTTGGTTGTACACACCAGTGAAAGAGTTACATTTTTGAGGATCCTGGATTTTAACCGAGTAATTATGGAGTTTGAGTTGTAAACTTAATAAATGAGATCTTTGTGAATTACATTATGGGAATTATGTAATTTTAAATGAAAATTTTGTTTTGAAAATTCACGTCGTTACAAGTTGGTATCAGAGCCTTGGTTTGAGGGATTCAGATACACCTTCGGGTATGTCTGGACTCAAACCGAGGATTTGAGAAAAGTTTTCATAAGAAACGATTTTTCTAGAAATGAGTAAATATTTCAAGAGAAAGCGGAAAAGAGCAGTGTGTACAATCAGACAGTGCCCGAACGGTGATTTCCCAAAATACCCTTACTTTTGTATTATAAGATATGTTACGAGATATTATGCATGCTAGAGATAGGCTAGGTATTTCATATTTTAGGACTAGAGTGGCCTGATTTGTGATGCCTTAGCCTAGGAGTTGCTGTTATTTGTGATGTGCTTTCGAGTATATGCTGAGTAAGAGTATCCAGCAGGAATCCTTTTAGATAGGGATTTGAGTAGAGGAGTAATCTAGGAGAGATACCTAGATGAGCATTTGTGGAGCCTATTGAGAGAGTAGTTAGATACCCGCGAGGGGTAGAGTTGTTGAGTTCGGTGATATCTTTTGAGTATGAGTAGAGCAAGTAGAGTTATCACCTATAGTGGTTCTGCGTGATGGTAGAGACTATTCGATGCCCGAATGCTGCTTGCTTCGTGCTTTGTGGGACTCTTGATGATGGGAGTCAACTACCAAGTGAATATGACGATATTCAGGAGGTAGGTGACTGGTGTCATAAGGAGTTCTTCAGCAGCTGATGGCAGAGAAGGGTGAGGACCTAGGAAGAGCCTAGGGGGTGACCATGGTCCGATAAGTGCGCTGACAGAGTAGAGCATTTCGCTGGGGAGCGAGTACGCGTGTCGGGATTGGTGTTTGAGAAGGTTGAGCAGCTACTTAGGAACTCCGGGATGGTCCGTGTAGAAAGTATGGGTAGATGTGGCAGGTAGTATGGGCCCGTACTACTGAAATCATAGGACCCATACTCGATGCAGGGAGTATTCCAGAGGTTCGAAGTAGCAGATCAAGAGGTGATATCATGGTTCGAGTACCAAGATTCGTAGCGGATTGAGAAGGGAGAATATGGTTCGAGTACCATGGTTCGTAGCAGATTGAGAAGAGAGAACATGGTTCGAGCGCCATGATCAGTAGCAGATTAAGAGAAGATAACATGGTTCGGGTACCATATTTTATAGCAGATCGAGAGGTGATGTCATGGTTCGAGTACCATGATTTGTAGCAGCTCGAGAGGTGATGTCATGGTTCGAGTACCATGATTCATAGCGGATTGAAAGGAGAGGACATGGTTCAAGTATCATGGCACGTGGCGGTTAGTGCTTCTGGTTTTACCGGTTATTCCGTGGTGATTGTCTAGACTGAGATCAGATGAGAAAGAGTATGGGGCTAGAGGGTCATGACGAACGAGTTTCAGTGGAGCATCCCTTGAGAGGGAAATCAAGTTAGCTCCGAGGGATTGTTGGTGAGATGCCAGTTGGAGTCGCAAGACTCAGGGTCGAGTAGGGAAGGTGCGTTATGGGAAAATACGGTCTAGGCTGAGCGATCGGCCGATAGTGGAGATGTCACTTTCTGTGACCTGATTGGTGCTATTTTAGTGTTCTGCGGGAAACAGGAGAGATATGGAGTTTCTGGTTTAGAGTTGAAGGTAAACCCTGTGGGGTAGCAAACGTGGTGACCTTTTCACCAAAATATTTTGGCGGTATGTTGGCTGCGAGGTATCCTTATACCAAGAGAGAGTCATTAGTGGGACTAAGACGGATGAGAGCAAAGAAGTGCCTTGTTGAGGTAAAGGTACTTGTATTAGTAGTTTCCGGTGGTTAAAAAAGAGTATATTGGGGCAGTGGCCCTCGTGGTATACATGGTGTATCGATAATGAGAATGAGGTCTGTACTTTTATGATAATTTCCGTTTTGGGAGGCGGATCGATGAGCTAGAGTCGAAGTGAGTGACAGGGCACTATTTTCGGATTTGAGATAGATTGGATTCGGAACAGTGGGGTTTCTGATGGTGTGTCAGTCTGAGGCTTCAAGGTGGCTAGATGCAGTCAGGTGTGGAGGATTCCAAGATTTTGTCAGGAACGGGATATTGGAGATTGTTTGGTTTCCTTTGGGAAGGCCCTGTGGTGATTGCGAAATACGTTTAAGAGTCAAGTGTGACATGACTGGTGAGACAACCTACTGAGTAGACTGTGGATGTGCCAATTAATGATTCTTCGAACCCTGAGTGGGGGAGAACTGGTTCTCCAGTTAGGGGATCAGTGATACATTCATGTGCGGTCAGAGGAATGGTTATGGGAATATGTGGTGCGGACGCATGAGCCGAGGATGAGGCGAGGATGAGGCGAGGTGCTAGACGGGAAGATGTAAAAGTTTGTGTTTAAGAAAGGATGAGTGGATCCACGACAGGTGGTCGTGGATTGGGAAAATTCATTGTGACCTGTGATTTTCGGAATTAGCATATGTCGAGTTCTAGTGCGATCGGATCGCTGGATTGCGGATGCAATAGCTGTGATTTGCAAGTGAAGGTATAGATTGTGATCTATACCCCTGGAAGGGCAGCAGTTGATTTGTCGATCAATTTTAGGGTCGATATTAGTAGTTCCGTATGGGTAGTGACCAATAGAGGGGGAGCTTCGGGTTTTCATCAACATGTTCGGAGCCATTGACGATGCCTCTGCGTTTCAAATTTGGAGATGGCATTCTCTGAGGTTCTAGTGGTTCGAGAGTAAGATCGGTTGAGAGACTCTGAAGGAGCAATGCAGTATCCAAGTACGGTGTCGTGAGTATGAGATCAGTGGTTTGGGCAAAACATCATGAGATTCTGTGTTGGTGTACCGAGGTATCCGGGTATGATGTCCTTATTTCCAGATTATTTTTAGTTCTGAGTTGAGAGCCGGCAAGTGGTGTAGCAAGTATCTATGGTTCTGGTGGGAGCACTTCGGCTAATTGTATTCGAGAATGTGGATTGCAGCAGGGAAAGGTGTTTTGTTATGGCAGATGTCGTCACAAAATAGCAATGCATAATTTAGGTAAGTGTGTACACCTATCTATGGTTGGTCCGCAGGGCATGAGTTAATGATCGCAGTGTGGCGTCGACCTGAGGATGAGTTTGTGAAGTGGTAAGAGCAAGTGAGGTGATGCTACGGGGAGCCGTAGTACTCACTATTCAGTGAGAGGTTGTGGTGATGCTACGGGGAGCCGTAGTACTCACTATTCAGTGAGAGGTTGTGGTGATGCTACGGGGAGCCGTAGTACTCACTATTCAGTGAGAGGTTGTGGTAATGCTACGGGGAGCCGTAGTACTCACTATTCAGTGAGAGGTTGTGGTGATGCTACGGGGAGCCGTAGTACTCACTATTCAGTGAGAGATTGTTGTGATGCTGCGAGGAGCCGTAGTACTCACTATTCAGTGAGAGGTCGTTGTGATACTGCGGGGAGCCGTAGTACCCACTAGTCAGCGAGAGAATGTTGTGATGAAGTACTCTCTGATCAAATCATAACGCATAAGAGTTTTAGGCTTGGGTATCCCTAATAATTGAGTTTGTGGGAGCCTGGTGGTCGAACCAGGGGCAATACTGGGGTCTCCATATTTGTCGGGAGTCGTTATATTCTGAATTGAGTAATGGTTGTCGCGACCAAAGGGAAGTTGATCAGTGAGGAACGCATGGGTTGCGGGTCATGAGTCATGTGTTGAGTGGTTCATTGGGACGAGTGGTTCCAACTCTGGGTCAGATCAAACTCTCGAGTTTGAGTTTGGCTCTGGTAGCACGTCGGGTAGGCGAGACGAGATTCCAGATTCAGAGATGAGTTCCATGTTGAAGGGTATTGGTTGTCATCTGGTGTCTTAGACCTGAGTGGGTCAATTCGTTGGTATGGGAAAACAGCGAAACGCATGGAACTAATGAGTAGTAGACGACTGCGGTCGAGGGTGAGACGAATTATCTATTCGCTTGAGGTAAAGCAAACTTCGTGACTTGTGTGTCACACTGGGCCGAGATAGTTGTATTAATAAGGAAGTCAGTGAGACGTTTTGGTACATGCAATGGGTAACCTTTGGAGGTTCAAATGCTAGGTCGGGAGATGACCTGGTACTCAGTCTTGAAAGGGATATTGAGGAGGGAGCCGAGGTTTATGTTTGTCAGATGTCGGAGGACGCTTCTGAACAAGCATGATCATCTTTCGTGCCTGAGGTCAGGGTGTTGAGGGTTCGTTGTTCAGAAGGGTTGTGATTGCAGTACAGTGGATGGGTCCCCGGTGTGATGTGATCCTTTCATTCCTTGGTATATGATCTGGATTGTTTATCATGTCTGGGACGAGTGATCGGTAGCCAGTTTTGGGCATGGACTTGTTTTTATCGGTCCCCACTAGAGAAGCATAGGGGCAATGAATTATCGGGGTTTGTTATTCGAGGAGCGAATAACGTGGTGATATCTTGAAAGGGCGGTTTGGCTGTGTGTCAGGCTACTAGAGTTTCCAGATTCTTGAGAGTCAGAAGGGGTAGCGTAGTGGCAGATGGGTCTGTCCTTTTCCAGGGAGGAGTTCCTGTTTGGATTCAAGTGTCCAGAGAGGAAGATAGTTGTGGGGTATGAGATCCTTTCGATGGTACTATTCGGTTATTGGATTCAAGGTTAGAGAACTCGCTACTCGATACCTTCTCGGCCGAGGGGGGAGTAGCGAGTACTCGGATTACTCGGGGAGTACTCGGATACGATAAATCATGTAGAAAAATATTTTAAACGAAATTATACATGTCAAACATCATAATTTAAAATATTAGTTAATGTAAATTCATTACAAAATTAGGGCAAATATCAACAAAAGATACATTTTCAAATGTTAAATTGTTTCAAAAATAGACACCATTCTTTAATATTATATATTTAGATTAATCATTTAATCTTCCTTTTCCAATGTAGCTCCGATTTTTTCGTTGATGTTAACTCCATCCGATTCATATTCAACATCTTCATTTAGTTCTTCCTCATCCTCCGACACAAATTCTTCCTCATCAAGTTCTCTCAATCTAGAACTTCTACGATTTTGTAAAAACTCCTCGTCACCTATAGCTTCATCGGGCTGAACTTCATCCAACAATACATCATTTTCGACAATCCATTCTTGAGCCTCACTTGCATATTTTGCTAAAAGTACTTCGATATCCTTAGTCTTCATTTTCTTGTTATTTTCCATCAAATTTGCATTAAATTGAACAAAAACAAGATTGTTCAATTTAGACGTCTCTAATCTATTTCTTTTCTTTGTATGTACCTACAAAATTAAATAATCAAAAAAAATGTTTGATAAATATACAAGTTTTGAATAAACTACTTAAAAATTATAATTAAAATTTAGTAAACTACCAACCCCTTCAAAAGTGCTCTAATTTCATTCACACCCCGAAGAACTAGTTGTTAAAGAAAGTATCCTTTTAGCAATCTTTCTCAATTGTGGAGTTGAGGCACCATAAGCTACCCACCAATTCGCTACAAGTTGAAAAAAACATTGTTCAATTTATTATTTTGGAATTTTATAAAATAAATACAATTTAAAATATATTACCCGGATCAAATTTGTCGTTGTTCACCTCACATCCTTTAATTTGCAATTTCTCGACTAAATTTTTCTTGTTTACCCATGTAAACCGGCAACTCAACCATCACGATATGGTTTTGCAAAGAATGATCTCCCGGATATATTGTATCGACAAAATCAACAATCGCATTGGTCACATCAATATCATTTTGGATCTCCGGATTCTTATAAAGATAATATGGATTTAAAAGGTAAGCCGTCAAATGTAGGGGTGTATCAAGCCTACCTTTCATCTTTTTCGAAATGATATCCATAATAGGCTCATACGCTTTTTTATTGTTGCCCAAAGCATTAATAATTTCTTGTTTCACATTTTGAATCTCACCATATACAAAACCCATTGAGGGCTTTCGATCCGCATCAACCATCCGAAGAACTTTGACCAAAGGGGCAAAAACCTTTAAACATAATGCTACACCGGTCCAAAATGTGGCATTTACCACCGTGTCATATGCGGCTTTCCCTTTAACGGTGTTGCTAAGTCTACATGATTCCCATTCATCGCTTGTAAACATTTGTTTTAGTTGGGCCTTTTTATCGGCCAAACTTTACAAAGTAAGAAATGCGGAAGCAAATCTCGTGACTCCCTGTCGCACAATATCTCTTTTCTTGGTAAAGTATCTCATCATGGCCAAAGTTTTATGACGAGCATAAATAAACACCGTGAGTGTTTTTGCATGGTTGAGAATTTTCTTATACCTAGGTAGCCCACCAATACCTTTTAAAATAAATAAAACGTTAATAATATTATTAAAAATTAATAAAAAACACTAAATTATAAAATTAGCACAATTAAAATTAATACCTTCAAGCATAAGATTGAGGGTATGTGTTGCACAAGATGTCCAAAAAATAGTTGGTCTTTTTTCCTTTAACAACTTGGCCGCTCCCATATTATCTGATGCATTGTCGGTCACAATTTGAACCACATTCTCGGGGCCAACTTCTTCGATGCAACTTTCAACATACTCATGTATGTGTTCACTTGTGTGAGCTTCTTCCGATGACTCTTTAGATGACAAAAAAACGGTCCCCATCTTTGAATTAACACATAAGTTCATGATGCTCCTTCTCTTTCTATCGGACCATGCGTCCGTCATTATCGAGCATCCATTAGATTTCCATTCATCTTTGTATGGTGTCAACAAATTTATTGTTATTTCTACTTCTTTCTTTAAATATGTTTCTCCCATCTCATATCTAGTTGGAGGTGGTGCCCCACGTCCAAATTGGCCAACCGCCTCCAACATAATTTTGAAGCTATCCTTTTCAAAGGCATGAAAAGGAATAACACATTCATAGGCCCATCTACAAATATATTCTTTCACACGAATCATGTGTTCCTTACGAATAGCATTTGACATATTTTCTTGTTTGCTCTTTCCCATGTTTGAAACATCTTGGGGGTTGATAGTGTTTGGAAACCGATCCATAGGCCCAAAAGAACGTTTAGCCTTCATAGAGCCAAATGAATCTTCCATCAAATCATCATCGATGGTAATGGTTTCATTCTCACTTCTTCTAATATTCACTTGTGCTCTTAAAGACTCATTTTCATCTACCTTCCCCTTCTTTTTATTTCGGTTATCAAGAAGAGCATCTCTACATTTTATTTGGTCATTTTTTGTGGCCTTTGGGCATGAAGAAACATTTCCCTTAATTTGTGCAATATGTTGTTTTAGTCTATTGATTCCCCCGCCCATCTCTTTATTACATAAAATGCATTTCACTCGCTCCAATTTTTTAGGATTCACACACAATGCATATTCCCATCCAGGATCATTTGATTTGCGTTTAAGATTCTCTTGAGCTACAGTTGATCCCGTAGACGGGGTTGTTGTGGTTGATGTCATTACTTCAGTTAGAAATCTATCTAACACAAAGTGAGTTAGTGAGTCTAAAACACACGCATTGTTTCAGAAAACAGAATAATATCATATTGTCAAACAAAGTGATAAAACAAAATAACATACAATCATATTACATACTATGATACATTGATCACTCTATTATTCTATTACACAGAAAGTGATAAAACATAATAATATACAACTAATATAAGTCTTGTACACAGAAAACAGGAAAAAAATACATACAAACTGTGAAATCTGAATTCTGAAACAGGGACAATCAAATACATATAACATATCCACTGCCACTTGTAAAGAAATCACGAAATACACTAAAATACTAAATACATACACACCATAACAGTAAAGAAATCACGAAATAAGTACACTGATACACACAAACCGACAATCTTAAGGTAAAAATGAGAAACAGGGACAGAGTTCTTGATGTAATACACTAATACACAGCGAGATAGATGAAATACATTAACAGTAGGACATTGTGGGAGTTCTTGATGAAGAAATCTGAAATCCACATCGAGATAGAATAACACTGTAAAAGTAGAGAACTAGAGATATAGAAATCTAAAATCGAGTTCTTGAAGAAACAGGAAAGATGAGAAACATGGATAGATATACAAACTTAAATACAAAAAAAAACGAGTTCTTGAAGAAGAAATCAAATCATCAACACAGCGACATACAGTGACAGTAGGAGAGAAAGAACCTCGATCGCGATTCATGACTCAGGAAGAAATCAATCACGACTCAGGAAGAGAGGAAGTCAGGAACACAACATCGATATTCATTTCCTAGTATCGCTATTCACTGGTAGCCTAGTGCCCTGGTATCACGATTCACGATTCGCCAGTAGAAGAGAAAGACGAGAGAGGATCAGGTCGTAGAAAAGATGGGGGGAACCAATTTGGGAATGCCGCTTGTTTTTTGTGTTTTAGGGTTATTTTTTTCAAAGTCAAAAATAAGTTTTATTGGTTTGTCAATTTTTGCCCTCGTTGACCGACTTCGAATTTATTGACTAAGTTTGACTTGTTGACCGAGTATCCCGAGTAATACCGAGTTGGAGCGAGGTTGACCGAGTTTTGACCGGGTTTGACCGAGTTTTGACCGACTTTGACTCAATCCGATTTTTTTGGCCAAGTTGACACTACTCGCCTCAATAGATGCCCGATTCCGAGTACTCGCCCGAGTAATCCGATTTTTAACACTGATTGGATTAGATCTATTTGTTGTTGAGGAGCGATTTCGAGGGTGAAATAATTCAAGTGGGGGAGAATTGTAACATCCGGATTTTCAGGGACATTATTGTGTATGATAATCTTGAGATTGAAGGAGCGACTCGACGAGTTGGGGGACCGACTCGCCAAGTCGAGTCGAGTTGCTCGCATGGATTTAATGAGTGGACTCGACGAGTCAAAGGAGGGACTCGCCGAGTTGGTGCTGGGCAGAGAAACCCTAAGTCTCCGGGTTTGTGACCTATTTAAGGGGCTTCAGGCCCTCATTTCCGCCTCCATTCACCCTTGAGAGCCTGAGAGAAACCCTTAAACCATTCTAACCTTTGTGAAGAGAGTGTGTGATCATTTTGGGCAATCTTGGTGCATTTCTATGAAGAAGGATGAAGAGATTCATGATGGGGAACAAAGGAAGGCAGTGGATCTGTGGTATTGAGTGTTTCAGCTGCTAAGAGAAGGTACAAAGTCCTCATCTTGTTCATTCCTTATACTAGATCTCATTTTGGGAGTTTTAGGGCTTTGCTTCCATCCTTTTTAATCTATGAGTTGAATGAGACATGGATTGAGGTTGGAAACCTCAGATCTGGACCTCCTAAGGTCCTTAGAGTCTAGGTGTCCAGCTTTAGTCGTTCAAATGAGGGTTGATGAGCTAAATCCTTTATAAAAGGCATGTATTAGCATTTTGGAGCAATAACCTCATGTATGAACGTAAAGATCGAATCTTTACGTGATTATTGAGCCTTGGGATGATAGATCTAGTGTTTGGAGTGATAGATCTGATTGAAATCGTCTGAATGAACATTTGGTCTGAATGAACTCGCTGAGTCATTGAGCCGACTCGACGAGTTGGTTAGGGTTTGTCCCGAAGAACTGAATCATGCGATAGCTCGACGAGTTGGGGGTCAACTCGACGAGCTGAGCTGGACTGTCACGAGACTTCTGAGGAAAATAAGTAGACTCGACGAGTCGCAAGGGTGCACTCAGTGAGTCGGGTCAAACATGGACTATTGACTCGAGTTTGACTTCTGTTGACTTTGGGGCTTTGGTCAACATGAGTGGTAGAGACCATGGAGGGGTAAAATGGTCTTTTATCCATTTCAAAGAGTTAAAGAGAGGAAGAATAGCCTTCGGTCTTTAGATTTGTGATTAGAGTATCACTTAGAGATATTCATCCCTTGTGTTAGGTGGAGGCTAGTTCGAGATTCGGGAGCAAGGTCTTTACTTGTTGCTTGTCAGGTGAGTCTTCTCACTATACGTTACCTAGAGTGGTATTTATGTGTGACCGGAAGGTCTTATGTGCTTACTTGAGTTATGCATCTTGTCTATGTGATATTATGCTATGAGTTATTTAGACCAGGCCGAAAAGTCCAACGATATATGAGGCCGGAAGGCTCAACCAGACCGGACCAGAGGGTCCAACGAGCTGCAGGACCGGAAGGTCATCATGGGTAGTACCGGAAGGTTTACCAGAGTTGTGGAGCCGGAAGGTCCACTGAGACACATCGGGCCGGAGGGTCCATTAGAGTTATAGCCTCGAGTGGCTAATATGTGTATGTGGTATTTTGGGGAACTCACTAAGCTTCGTGCTTACCGTGTTATGTGTTATGTGTTTCAGGTTTCCTCAGGATCGCGAGACGGCACCGGCTTGGTTGTACACACAACAGTGAAAGAGTTACATTTTTGAGGATCCTGGATTTTAACCGAGTAATTATGGAGTTTGAGATGTAAACTTAATAAATGAGATCTTTGTGAATTACATTATGGGAATTATGTAATTTTAAATGAAAAAATTGTTTTGAAAATTCACGTCGTTACATTTATGGCATTAATGTTAACTCTTTGGAGATTGATAGGCTTGCTAGCATCTTGAAGTGTAAGTTCGTTGCTTTCCCTTTCACTTACTTGGGCCTACCGGTTGGGGCCAATATAAAGCTAGCAAAGCATTGGAATCCGGTGTTTGAGAAAGTAAAGAGGAAATTATCAAATTGGAAGGCTAAAAGCCTCTCTTTTGGTGGACGTCTCACTCTTGTTAACTCCGTGATTAGTAGTCTTCCGCTTTACTACTTTTCTCTTTTTAGAGCTCCAAAGAAAGTGATTAATATTATAGATGGTTTGAGAAGGCGGTTTCTATGGGGGTGGATATGAAGCTAATAAAAAAATCTATTGGGTTTCTTAGGATGTTGTTATGAAATCGAAAGAAAATGGGGTCTAGGAGTGAGTTTCCTTGAATCGAACAACTTGGCGCTTCTTGCAAAATGGTGGTGGAGGTTAAAAGTTGGGTATGATGATTTTTGGTGCTCTTGTGTCAAAGCCATTCGTAATATTAATCTTATTGATGGAAAACCCTTGGCTAAAAACTCCTTAAAAGGTGTTTGACTTGATATCTCAAATTTAGATAAGGGGTTTTGTGATAAA